CATGAGGTTATCGCGTTCGGTGGTCTCTCCGTTTTCTTCTATGGCATGGGCGTGGCTGTATACGCCTTTGAAGGGATTGGTATGGTTCTTCCTATAGAATCTGAGATGAAGGAACCCTCCAAGTTTGGCAAAATATTGGCACTTAGCATGGGCTTGATTTCTTTGATATATGGAGCGTTCGGTGCGCTTGGTTATCTTGCATTTGGTACTGATACCAAAGACATTATTACTGCTAATTTGGGGGCAGGCTGGATCAGCGCATTGGTTCAGCTCGGTCTTTGCATCAACTTATTTTTTACCTTCCCGCTGATGATGAACCCCGTTTATGAGATTGTAGAGAGGCGATTTTGGGGAGGAAGTTACTGCTTATGGCTTAGATGGCTGCTTGTTTTGATTGTAAGCTTGGTAGCTTTGTTCGTCCCAAACTTCGCTGATTTCTTGTATCTGGTTGGAAGTAGCGTGTGCTGCGGTTTGGGTTTTGTATTGCCAGCTTTGTTCCATTTGCTGGTGTTCAAGGAAGAGCTGGGGTGGAAAGGATGGACCGTGGATGTTGGAATCGTGACCTTGGGCCTCGTTCTTGGAATCTCGGGAACTTGGTCTGCTCTCACAGAGATCTTCGCTGTCAAGGTGTAGAGGTACAATGTCACAATGATTGTGACCTTCGGCCTTGTTCTTGGTGTTTCAAGAACTTAGCCGCATTCATGGAGATACTTATGACTATTACCCTGTTGCTTATTTTGTAAGATATTACAATGTCTGTGTGTAATGCAAGCTGTTTTAAAAGATCGTTTATGCTTGCTTCCTTGTAAGTCACTCACTCCTTCATGTTCTGATAGTTGAACTAGGCTTCTGGGTTTTCGGTTCTGATCTCAAACCTTTGATGATGAAGCTCACCGGAGAAAGTTCTTTCTTTGTTGAACTTCGAGGCTCGTCCGTTGGAGAACGAGTTTTCTTTTTTTTCTGCATTCCGAATTCGCACTGGTCATGGGGGTTTGATAGAACACAAGGGTGCAGCGCATCATTCCTTTTTGCAGCATCTCCCACATCTTCAGCAGTTGGACCGTAAATTCACGGGATGAATTGCCAAGTAGATAGATCAGATCCGGACGCGGCTGTTGCTCCGTGGTGATACGGACTCGATGCTTGCACCCTGGGAATAAAGCAGGTGCCGACTGTAGACTGGCATCGGAACCGTCTCCGTCGTAACCTGCAAGTTGGAACCAGTTCTCCAACACCTCTATAAACCCGAATTTAAGAACCGGTTATCGGAAACGGAAACGGATGTCTCACGTAATGTCGGATATGGATACTTCCAGACCAAGTTTTCAGGGGTTTGGTTATGCTTGGCTAGGCTTTGTTCTCTATTAGTCCATTTGTTTGTGATTTCCTCTTCTAAGAATATATTTTCAAAAATTTAAGCATGAGATATTCCTTTTATAAATATAATATATCATCTCAGCCCTACTAAAATTATCCCTTATTGACTTTTTAAAAATCAAAACTTTCAAACTTTGATAATTATTATTTTAAATATTTTTTAAAAAATAAATTTTATTAAATATATATTTCGGAACTACTTATTAAAGATTTCTAAAATATACTTTTTATATTTTTATCAATAATTATTTTTTTGAAATAAAACAGCTAATTTTATTATTAAATAAGAAAAATTCAAAATTACCATAAAATTCACGACAAAAATCGTAAATTATATACATAATTGAGATATTATTCTAAAATCATTCAGAAACTAGTCACTCAAGATCATATCAATACCATACAAGGAAAAGATAAAAAAAACTCGAACAAGGGGTAAGTACGAACATATATGACTACTACGGCAAACAAACCATAATAGGGGATTTAAACTATTGAAATATCACCGATAAAATATAAATCAGAGCCAAGTATCACGAGATAATTATATGCGATCGCAGGTTGCGTATCCAAATACAATTTGTTCCAAAGCCGGGAAAATCAACGAGATAACAAATTAGAGTCATCTTGACCAGTCGTGACAATTTCAAATTCAATCCTTAAAGGGGAAAAATATATCAAAAGACAGAGAAAAAACATGTTACGAAAGTAGAGAAAAAACATACTATAAAAGTAGAGAAATTCGTGTATTATTGTATATTCGTAAAATTTGATCCTGACAAAATAATTTCTTCTTATTTTTTTCTCTCTCTCTGATTTAAACTTGTTGGGAAATATCTCAATCTTTTCGAATTCCAAGTAAATTCTAACTAAAATTAAAAGTTAAAAATGTTTTAAACTGTCATTATCAATCGTATGATCAATTTAAAATTGATCTTTTAGTAAACAAATCATTTCCGTCGTTTCGGATTGATCAACGACTGCTTTAGTCATCACTAGTTTGGCATTATACATGGTTACAAATTTGAAGAGTTTAGTTTTTTTTTTCTAAAAAAAATTATCGTGTCACATCGATATTTTATGAGAAAGAATTGTCCGTCCAGCTCAGTTAGTAGAGCGCAAGGCTCTTAATCTTGTGGTCGTGGAATCGAGTCCTACGATGGATAATTTATAATTCGGAGGTCTCTCACGGAAGCTGCTCTCAACCTAGCGTTAGGGGCAGCCTACTATCCTACCTCCTCCTTACCTTATTACATATGTGAATAAGAGTCAACTAATTTAATTTTATCGATATTTTCTGAGAACAACTAATTAATTATGATAATAAAACAAATTACAAATTTTAATTTACTTTGAATAAAGTACAAGAGATAGAGAAAAATATCTTTTGTTTGTTGACTTGTTAGAAATAAAATAAAAGGTGAAATTCTATTATGCGACAATCTTAATATACGATTAAGAAAATATGTTATCGATTTTGTTATTTTTTTTAATATTTTCGGTAAATATTACTTAAAACATTATTATTTTTATCTAAAATATTAATGTTTTTTAATATTTCTGGTAAATTGTTCTATAATAACAAAACTGATAGAAAAAAAATAATATTTTAAGTAGTTTTACCTAATATGTTAACAAAACCAATAAAGCACCCAATAATAACAAAATCGGTAAAAATAATAATGCTTTAAGTAATTTTTTAATGAAAATATTAAAATAATAATAATAAAATTGATAACGTCTTTATTTATCCGTATATTAAGACTGTCGTACGTGAATCTTCTACAAATAAAAGGTAAGAAAATAGTAAATTAAGTTAGGTTAATTGATCCCATCAAAACCTTTGACATTTGGCATCCAAATACCTCGAAGATAGAGAAAAAATAAATTATTTCAAAACATATTAATAAATTGGGTTTTTTAAGGTTTTGCCCCCACACTTTAAAAATATATATTTTTGGTGTTATAGAATATTTTTCTACCGTTAATATATTAAACGATAAATCTGTAGATTTTATCACCCATTCTCTAAAATTACTTTTTATATATACCAAATCTACCCATAATTACTCGAAATCTCTAAACAAAAAAAAACATTAAAACATATTCGAATTTAATCAACTCTTTAAAATATGCTAATAAAAAAGAGATTAATCCACCGGTATTACTTGTGGTGTCAAATCCACCATTATTATGTCACGCAAAGATGGGAAAATGAAAAAGACTTAGATAAATTACGTGTTTAGTATCTAAATTATTATTTTTGGTCTGTCTTTTCAAAATTTAACATTAAGCTCTGAAATTTTTTAAAATTTTATGTACTAAAACGGACTAAAATTGATAATTTAGATACTAAATACGTTAAGTTTTTAAAGATAGGGTACTATAATGAAATAAAAACTAAACGTTGGGTATGATTTAAAAAAAAATGAAAGTTGTTTTACTAAAATGGACCAAAACTAATAGTTTAGGTATTAAATTAGTAGTTTACCCAAAAGACTTAAGTCTTTATTTCAAATTACACCGCGTATGATTGTGAAGGCCCAAAGTCTCAGTTTAAGTCTCATCGTCCAAATACATTGTTAGGAAAAAGGATTTCTTTTTTATTTACAGAGATAACTGTGAGTTAAATAGTTGAGTTTTTTTATATAATCATTAATTGCATTTTTATAATTATTTTAATTTTTAAATATAAATATCATTATTCAACTTTAAGTCTAAATTAAATAATTATTAAATACCTGATATACAACTTAAGTTTTTTTATATAAATTATGAATTTAACCTTAGTCAACTTGAACTCGAGTCAGCTAGATCATTTTGACTACAACATTTCACTTTAGTACGAGAAGACTCTTCGGCCCTATTATAAAGTATTGATTATTTGTTATAAAATGATTTTCATTCGTATAGAGATTTTTTATATAGACATTAAACTTCATCATTTTATCTAAATTATCGATGTTTATGATAAGTCAGATTGAATCGAGTTCTCGTATTTGTAAAAGAATTTACCTAAAACAATCAAGGAAACGAAAAAACATAAAGGAGAAGAGATGGGCCAAGATTCGGAATTGAATTTGAAACCCTTTTACTTGTAAACAAATGAAGTGGATTCCCATAAAACACAAAGGTGAGAAAAATGATACCGTACGACAGTCTTAATATACAGTTAAAAAAAGATGTTATTAATTTTGTTATTATTTAAATATTAAAATCGATAAAAAATTATCGAAAATATTATTATTTCTATCGATTTTATTATTATTAGGGTTTTTACATGTTTTGTTAATAAAAAGGTAAAGCGCTACCTATTTTATTATTTTTTACCCATTTTATTATTATTGAACTCTTAACTGAAAATATTAAAAAAATATTAAAATTTTAGATAAAAAATATTTTAAATAATTTTTATCAATTTTATTATTTAAATAATAATAAAATCGATAACGTATTTTTTTAACATTAAGTGTGACTCACCGTATAACTTCCAGAGAATCAGCGACCGAAAAGTGAAAGTGAAACTGTGCCCCGACATTTGCATTTGCAGCTGTCTCCAGCCCATTTCCCCTCCTATTTATAACCCCCTTAAATCCCCCGGTTCTTCATCACCTCCTCCACCGCTGTCGCCCTAAAAAATGTCTCTCCGCCGATTCATATCTTCATATCTGATACTCACATTCTCTGTCACTTCTTCAGTGACAGCAACCGCGAAGGAGCAAACTTTAAACACCCAAGAAGCTGAATTCTTTAACCCAAAGCTTCCACCACGAACCCTTTCGTCGTCGAAAAAATTCGAAGGCTCGTCGAACATCGTCGACCTCCGTTACCATATGGGTCCGGTTCTTTCCTCTTCGCCGATCAATATTTATCTTATTTGGTACGGTCGTTGGTCCGAATCACAGAAGCTCCTTATTAAAGACTTCATCAACTCTATCTCCCCTTCCTCTGCCGCTTTCTCGCCGTCCCCTTCCGTTTCCGAGTGGTGGAAAACCGTTTCTCTCTACACCGACCAGACCGGAGCCAATGTTTCCCGGAACCTCGTCGTGGCGAAAGAACACTCGGACACGCGTTACTCCCACGGGTATCACCTCACGCGCCTTTCGGTCCAACAAGTCATCGCCACCGCCGTTAAAGCGGCGCCTTTCCCCGTCGATCACCGAAACGGGATCTACTTGATCCTCACCGCACACGACGTTACAGTCCAAGACTTCTGCCGGGCCGTTTGCGGCTTCCATTACTTCACATTCCCATCCATGGTGGGGTACACTCTACCCTACGCATGGATCGGGAACTCGGGGAAACAATGCCCCGAGGTCTGCGCTTACCCGTTCGCCGTCCCCGGGTACATGGGCGGCGGTGGTCCGGGTGCGTTGGTCCCGCCGAACGGAGACGTCGGGTTGGACGGGATGATCAGTGTGATCGCCCACGAGTTGGCGGAGCTGTCGACGAATCCGCTGGTGAATGCGTGGTACGCCGGAGAGGACCCGACCGCTCCGACGGAGATTGGGGATCTTTGTGAGGGGTTGTATGGTACGGGCGGCGGCGGAGGGTATATCGGTCAGGTTATGAGAGATGGGAAAGGGAGAACTTACAACATGAATGGCAATAAAGGAAGGAAATTTTTGGTGCAGTGGGTATGGAGCCCTGCGTTGAAAGCTTGTGCTGGTCCGAATGCCATGGACTAAATTTCCAATTTTATTTTATTTTTAATATTTTTTTATATTTTTTTTTCTGGTCTATTGATGTATAAAAATGTAATATTTACAGCATAATTTATATTTTCTTTAAGATAATTTTTTCCTTCAAAATCTTGTTCTTTTAACGAGTATCATAAAATCTGCTTTTTTAAGTAACAGTTTTCAAAAAAGTGTTTTCATTTAACAGTTTGAATTTTTTTTTGTTAATGTTGAATTTTATTCATCCAAAAAGAATCTCCGATGCACAAGACTTTTTACTTTCTATATAACTTATCCGGTTACAATCGAAAAAGTTAAAAATATTAATATTTTAAATAATACTCTATCAAAAATATTAAAATAAAATTAATATTTTCGATTTCACATTTCCTTAACCTTACATTTGTCTTTCCTTATACATCCCTTGCGCATGATAATCATGCTATTCGTCATGTTTTGCTTTTCCTTTCTTGCATGTTGCTCTCTTTTTCTTTGTAATTATATTTTTATTAAAAATAAAAGTATTTTGTTAATAATTTATTTGTGAAATAAGACATTTTTATATGTATATTATATATTTAATCATTTATCTATTCACGTGGTTTTGTTTTGATCAATAAACTATTTTTTTAAAATCATATTTAATGTTATGTTTTGATTATAATTTTGTCCGTTGTCGTTAAAAAATAATGATGATGTTGACGTGTAATCAAAAGACAATATAACGTCATCAATTAAAAAATAAATAATTATCATATTAATAGTTACGACTTTTAATGACGTTGATCAAAACAAAATGAAAGTATAATGTTAAGCATAATTAAAATAATAATAATTAGATAATCAAAACAATATCTCAAAAATAGGTGAATGGCAAAATACATAATTTACTTAATTTTTATTAGAATAAATATAAAATTATAATTTTTGAAAGGTTAAAGTTAAAATTTTTATGTTAAAAAATTAAATGAAATTATTAATTTTCAAGGAGGATAAAAATATGTAATTTCATTTAATAAACAAGATAAAATAGTTTAAATTGAATTATTAATTTTTAAAAGAAATATTTGTTTCATTTACCTAAAGAATTAAAAATATCAAATTAAATTCTTAATATTTTAATGAGTTAAATTATCAACATTCTTTTCACAATGAATTTTTTCAATTAATTTGAGATAAATATATGATAATATATTTATAAAGATAACTTTCGACTATTTGAGATTGAATATTTATATTTTTGACATTTATGATGTTCGATCACGAGATCTTAATAAATATCAATAGTTATTTTATCATTAAAATCACTTAATTCGTATCGTAATAAAATTTATATAAATAAAATGAGGGGGAAACAAAGTCATTGTCGAGAGGGCTAGTGGGTGGTGGACACCCCAAAAAGGCCAAAACTTTAATTAAAAACATTTGTGATCCACAGCTAATATTGGGACCCATAAATAGTACACATAGGAAATTAAAGAATTATTTCACGTTATGGGACTTGCCATCACTGGCCCCTACTCTCATCAAATTCATTTTTATATTTCATATTTTTATCAATTCACTTAAATTAAATAATATATCATTTATACGAATCAAACGACTTCTATAGTTAAGAAATTATTAATATTATTTAATATTTTGTGTTCGAGCACCGCATATCTATGGATGTATGAACATTCAATGATAAATAGTTAAATATGTTTGAATAGATATTAACTTATATGTACTCTAGATTAATAAAAATAATATAATTTTTTTAATTTTTTAATTTTTTTAATTTACAATATTAAAAATTAAATTATTAATATCATTGAGAAAGTTTTTTTTTAAATAAATCCAATGTGAATATAAAGTAATATATATATTCAAAGATTCTCCATCATTTAACAATGAAAGCTCGTACTCCTACATATGTGATGCTCAAACTCAAAATATCAGAAGATAACAATAAATTTCTTAGTCACCGAAATCACTCGATTCGTGTAACACTACCTATAAGACTAACTTTTTATATTTTGTGTGTCATCGATCTGTTTTATTCGTTCGGTTGTACTTAGGCTAATAATGTATTTTTTAATTAAGCTAAGATGATTACAAAGTAGTATATGTTTTAAATATTCTCGAGTTTTTAATAATGAACGTTCAATCACACTCAATCGAATATTTTTGTACACTCCTAATTTAAAGATTATTAGTGTTCAATTTTAGCCAGAGATTTTTATCATATTGTTTGAGTGAGGATTTTATTGTTTTATACATATTAGGGATCATTTGAGAGGGTTAATTTGCTTCGGGTACAGTGCAGCTGATTTGCCTCACTGTTTGCCAATCGCATCGACAATTCCAGCGCGATCAGCTCTCGGCCGGTGCTTTAACTCGATCCTATTGGCTCATTGCCTGTTGAGTTGATCAAGGTTTGGCCAAAAATGGTTAGCAACACAAGATATATATATATATATATATATATATATATATATATATATATATATATATATATATATAATAAAGGGCGGTCACTGCAGGCTGGGACACCACCAATCAACACTGTCCCATTCGGTTTAGTTGGGAGGCCACATGCACTGTACTCACCAGGGAACACACAACCTTCACTAAACTACGACGTTTTTATAAATTATGTTTAAAATACACTAATGTGGCGTTTGGTTTACTAAACTTTCCCATGTTTGATTCAAGTTTTCAAATGAGGAATTGAAATCCAATTCCATCAAGGATGGAACTACGACGTTTTTATAAATTATGTTTAAGATACACTAATGTGGCGTTTGGTTCACTAAATTTTCCCATGTTTGGTTCAAGTTTTCAAATGAGGAATTGAAATCCAATTCCATCAAGGATGGAAAGTAAATTTCATCCATAAATGATGGAATTAAAATCTTTTGAAGAAGAGAATGTGAAATTTGATCGTACTATCCTCATCAATCTTTTGGTATTCGGATCGGATTTTTTTTAAAAAAAAATTGGGTTCGGGTCAGTCGGTTTTTTAATTTTGATATTTGGGCCGGGTCGGTGTTGGGTTTTTTTTAAATTTCGGGATCGGGTCAGATTTTTAAAAAAAAAAAATTGGGTTCGGGTCGACTTGGGTTTTTTAAAGTGTGATATTCGGGTCGGGTTCGGGTTTATGGTGAAAAATACTCTACCCGACACCCGACCCGAAAAAATATATAATTTTACCTTATATATTTAGGAATAATTATAATAATACTCCTCTATATATAATTTTTTTCAATTAAGTCACTGTTTTTATTGAATAAAAATAATTTTTTTATTATTTCGGGTCGGGTCTGGTCGAGTTTCTAATTTTTATAATATATTACTACATGTAAGTTATAAAACAAATTAGCAAAAAAAACAAGAAATACAATTCTGTCATTTTACATTACTGAAATCAAATTCATCTGACATGTCTGCGAACCAAACAAAATATGAAATTGAATTCCAATTCAATTTCATGCCAACCAAACATGTTTCACATTCAGATTCCAATTCCTACATATTACATTTCCTTCACAGATTCTAATTCCCACATTCCAACGAACCAAACTCCAATTAATAGTTTCTATTATTGCATGTATTTAATATGCATTCTATTTAAAATGGCTGTCCATTTTTCCCATATATATGGGGTAAGGGGGAGGTAAGATAGTAGGCTACCCCCAACACCAAGTTGAGAGCAGCTTCCGTAAGAGACCTTCAAATTATGAAATGCCCTCCGTGAGACTCGATCTCACGACCTCAAGGTTAAAATCCAACCGAGCTGGATGGTTATTTCAATCTGCATTCTATTTGAGATGTACAATTAATGCGTGACGGTTCCATTGGGTGGGTGTCTCCATGATCCATCCCCATCTTGACGGGGGGCAACCTCTTTTTGGAGGGCACAACTGTTGCCTTGTTTATTCAACAGTGATATGTCGACCCAATATAGCCAAAACTCCCCTTATTTACTGTCACTAGGTCTGTGGATAGGAATAAATTAATCTCGTTGAATGAGATAATGATTATCGATCGATATCTTTTACAAGCGATTGTTAAAGTGTTTATCTATATATTATAATCAATTTCGATGTTATTGTATTCATGATTTCTTAAAAATTCTTTTTTTAAAAAAATCTATTCGAAAATCTTGACTGATAAAAATCGATAATTTCTAGAAATGATATCCGAAGATATAACCGATATGAGCCCTCGTATTTGCCGGCAGTGGCAGTTGGATAGATAGGGATAGATGAAGAACTCGACTGACAAATTGCATTCGTGCGTGTGCTGTCTCTTACCTGGTACATTGTTGGATATTTTGCTCTCTCGTAAATATAAGTCCCGGCCGGTAAACATGGAGCCCAGGGCTCGAGAACAGTACAACCCATGGCCTACTCGGTTAGGCTGGCCCGTCTGATGGGATTTAAATGGACCACCCAATTGGTAAAAGCTGACAAAAATATAGTTGAGGCCGAATATCTTTCATAAAACCGAATCAAGATGGACTAACATAGAGTAGGTAAGGACAGCCGTCTTTTTTTTAAAATTTAAAATTATTATATATTTTAATTTTTTATATTTTAATATAATTATTTTTCCCCTGTAATTTTATAATTTTTTCTTCTTCTTAAAATTTAAGAAATTAGTCCTCTTAACATTAAATATTGAGTCCATCCCTATAGATCTCCGCATATACAATGTTGAAGAAATGGAGATTTAAATTACGGTTACGATTATATTTTCATTTCTGATTGTATATATAACGAGTGTTATTATAATTATTACAAATATCATAAACATACAATAACGTTTTTGAATTTTGTCATTACCATTATATGACGATTATTCTGATAGTGGATCGTTATTTAAATTTATGCGTGGAAGATTGATACTGATGACAATAGATTATTTGATTCATTCGGTTCAATTTTAGGAGTTTGGTCAGTCTCCGGTGCCCGTCTCATCTTTAGTTGTATTCACTACTTTTGGAATAGTGACCCAATCATCTTTAGTAGAATGGACATAACCCAAGAGTTTTTGGGCTCACGATTTTTTTTATAAT